TTATCACCTCTTTTCCTCATGGCAATTTCTGCCAGAGAGATTTCTACACAACACAGATCTTAGAATGTCATGTTCCAAGGGATCTAGAACCAGAATAATTGCTATAACAAATGTATCCACATAATGGATTACTTACTACTCAGCTATTAAAAGAAAAGAAATATTAATAAATGAAAAAGGTGGATGAATTAAAAAAACATATCAGAGTGAAATAAACCTTACATAAAAAAGGACACAATGCATGATTCTAATTAAATTGGAAACAGTCAAAACTAATCTATGTTGAAGAAATCTCAGTATAATATTTGCCTTAGGGTGGTGGGGGCAGTGATGGTCTGGAAAGGGACATGAGTGAACTCTTTGGGGTGGTGGTAATGTTCTATATCTTGATAGAAGTTCAAGTTTCTCACGCATATGTATTAGTGGAAATTCATCAAAAACTGCAGTTAAGGTGTGTGCCTTTCATAATATGTAAGTTTTATCTTATAATAAAAATGTAAACATATAACGAACTTTCACTGTTGATGTGATATGCTGAAGTGTTTAGAGGATAATGTACGGGGGCCAGCAAATTACACTGAAATATGTTTAAAATAAAATAGTTTGTTGCATGGAGGATAGAAGGATCCATATATAATAAAGCAGATACAGTAAAATATCAATCAATTCTTCATACGTCTTCTCTCTCCTGGATTCACAGTTTCTACAATATCATCATTATCCTCCCGCATGTCATCTAAAGCAGAAAATGGAAGTTATCTTCAATTCTCACCTTATTCATCATCTCACAACCAATATCTCATGTCAGACAATTTTACTTCCTGGAAACCTGTTAAATCCACCTCTTGGTTCCATTGCCATCTTCTTTACCCCACCTTCCAAACCCTCAACATTTGCTGTCTGTGCCAACATATCAGCCTCTTCGGAGTCCCATTTCTTATTCAAGTGAATCCATCTGCATTATCCCTGTAGAGTTTGTTCTCACATCCATCAAGCACTCTCTTCCTTCTCTGCTGAAAATCTTTCCATGGATCTTTAATTTTTTTGTTTTTTCTCAAGATAAAGTACAAGCTTCCCATTCAGACTTTCAAGGCTCTTCATAACAAAGCCAGCCTAACTCCCCCAGCCTCATTTTTGACTCAGTCTCCTCTTGCTCTGATTATCAGTTGGCTATTGCTGCATAAAGGAAGCCCTGGTGGCACAATAGTCATGTACTCAGGCTCCAACCAAAAGGTCAGTGGTTAGAATCCACCAGCTGCCTGTGGGAGAAAAGACCTGGCAATCTGCTCCCGTAAAGATTACAGCCTTGGAAACCCTATGAGGCAGTTTTACCCTGTCCTATAGGGTCACTATGAGTCAGAATCAACTTGACGGCCCCCAGCAACTACAACATTGCTGCATAGGGAGCAGGGATGGTTCAGTGGTAGAAGTCTTACCTTTCATGCAGGAGACCAGGGTTCAATTCCCAGGCGAAGATCCTCAAGCATAGCTTCCACCCATCTGTTAAGTGGAGGCTTTCATGTTACTATGATGCTGAACAGGTTTCAGTGGAACTTCCAGACTAACCCAGACTAGGAAGAAAGGCCTGGCAATCTACTTCTGAAAATCAGCCAATAAAAACCCTATGGATCACAATGATTTGATCCCATTGTGCATAGCATCCCCATGAACTGGGGGACAACTGGATGGCAGCCAGCAACACTTGCTGCATAACATACATTCACAAAACCTTGCTGAGCTAAACCAGTAAGTATTTATTGCTCATGCATCAGGGGTCAAATGATGGCAGGCAGTTCTGCTGAAATATCTGGGTCTTGTTTAAATGTCTGAAGGTCAGTGAGCTGCCAGCTAATCTGGGCTGTCTTGGAGGAGGGTCAGCCAGAAGGGATCCACTCCTCAGAGGGAAGGAGATACCAGGGGTCCAGAAGGTGCCAAGTGGGCAGAGGGAGGGCCTTGGGGAGAACACAAGCAGATGTAGGAGAGGAGTCTGAGTTCAGGTTGGGTCCCAGAGGCAGCTCGACCCCTCTCCCTCTTCCTGTCACATTCCTAAGGAGCCTCTGGCAGTCCCAGTCCCCTGCACATGTGGCCCAACTCAACAGCTGGTGAGTCACAGTGGTCTCTTTGTTCAGGGAGCACAGACGCCCACAGGCCTATTCTGAGCATCTCCAAGAGTCCGGCAACCTTTGAATTCTCAGACTCGGCTTGTGTCCAGGGGAGCTGGGAGATGGGCAGAGACGAAGGCAGTGGTCCCAGGATCCCAGGGGTTCTGGGGCTGGGGGTGGATAACAGGTGGGGAAGTCATAGCAGAGGGCGGTGTTGAGGTCCAGACTGGGGGAGGAGCAGCCAGCAGAAGTGTAAGACGGCAGCCCCAGCCCCTCACCCCATCCTGCTCCCCAGGAGGCTCCGAGGATCAGCGCCTCACACCCATGAAGTTGGGTTCACTGAGTGGTAGGGGTCTCTCATACAAGAGGTAGGGGGAGGGGTCCCCAGGGAGGAAGGGCTGAACAATGCTGTTGCTTCAGGGATTCTGCAGACATTGACTTGGACAAGCCCTCCCACTGTCTGGGCCTTAGTTTCCTCAATGTGAAAAGAGAGGCCTGGCCCATATCTGATAGTTCCTTTCAGTTCTGCTCTGACTGTGCTCTCTGGGGAGAAGAGGCCTCCCCCGGAAGCCTTTGCAGGACTTAGTTGCAGAGGTGATGGTGACATTGTATGGGTCAGGGGAGAGTACAATGGCAGAGGTGAAGGTCAATTTCTTCCCCATCAGCTCAAGGGGTTCAGCCCTGGGGGAGACCTCAGTTCCCAGCTCAGCTGCTTTCTCTGTGGGACCTGGCAAGTCCTTTTTCTTCTCTGAGTCTCAGGGTCATCTACTGTGAGCTGGCTCACAGGGCTGCTGGGAGATTTGGGTGAAGTAATGAGGCCAGGGCCATTATAGAGCTCAGTAAGGGCAGACCCCTTCCTTTCCCCTCCCAGACGCACTCACCTCTCATGTCCAGACAGGCCCCTCGTGGAGTGTCAGGGCTCTGCAGATGAGAGATGGATCAGGGATGGGCTGTGGAGGAACACAGAGTCCACCCTATGCAGCCTACCTTCCTCCCAGGTCCCCAGCTGTCTGTTGTGTTGGGAGAAAAAATCAAAACCAAACGTTGCCATTGAATCGATTCCAACTCATAGCAACCCCATAGCGACCTTTGTGTTGGGAGAGGGGAGGGTAATAAGGAAGGTGACTCAGGTCAGGAAGGCAGGCAACAGGCCTCTCCTGTCAAATAAGGGACCCAGAGCTT